ATGGTGCAGAGGGCTGTGCAAGAAGAGATTGATCTTGCTCTTGCTTACTGAACCAATGAGGCATTCCAGTCTCCGGGCCAGGGAGGAGCCAGGCTGTAAATTTTTCTGACTCCTGCTATAAACAAAGCCTGTCACAGGGAGGCTATGACTCGACATCCCTTTCAGAAAGGGAAGCTGAGGGACAGAGAGAACGTGCCTCTCTCCATGTCACTCTGTGTCTTGGGAAGAGAAGACTGGGGATTTCTAGAAGCAGAGCCAGGGCTGACATCTTTCTGGTAAACCCAAACCACAAGAGTAGAAACTTTGAGTTGCTTTAAACTGCAAGGTCTTGGTGGCTCCATCAGGGAGGAGGGAACTGGCTCTCTCAGGTCAGGAAGGGTCGATTTTGCACTGTTTGTGGACCTCCTCTTGCCTTAATTCAAAGAGCTTCCACAGTGTGGATTGAGAGAGGGAATTTCCTTGGCACAGTATTCATTTGGGAATGAGTTTGGGGCACTCAAATAAATGCACCTGTATTTTGGAAATGAGGGATTGGTGTCATGATTTAGAAGTATTAACCATGACCGAGTTTATTGCTGAACATTTTTAGAGCACTATTGTCACCGAAAGAGGTAAAGAGGAAATTCAAAACAAGATGAGGAAGGGAGGCTGTCAGAACCACAACCTCGGGAATAGGGAACCATAACATGTAGTGGTAATCGTGAATATCCAAAGGGGAATTGACAGTTCATATTTGATTTTGCCCTTTTTACTTAAAACAATGTGCTCATCAATTAAAAAGTGAGATGTTATTCGCAGTATTTTTAATTTTAAAAAATCTCCTTAGAATGATTAGGGAAGTAGACTCTCTCGTCCCCTCACTATTGATAGGATTATAAATCGGTGCTAAGTTTCCATGATAATGTGTGCCCAAAGCCTCAAAAGGACATCTACCCTTTTCTGCAGGAATTTAATTTTTAGGACTTTATGCTATGGTATATTAGGAATGTACACAAAGGTTATATGTTATATAATATAGTTATATGTTATATAATATAGTTATATGTTATATATTATATATAGTATATATTATACTATATATAAATTATAGTAACATAAGTGTTATATATTTTCTTAAAATCATAAATGATCTAATTTTTTAAAATAAAATGGAATTGGTTAAATAAATTATGATGTATCTATATAGTAAAATTCTATGTGGTCACAAATCATGACAATGTACAGCTGTTTTGATCATGTGAAAAATGTTCAGGATATATGACTAAGTAAAAAAAAAACAGAAAAAAGAGCATATACCATTTAGTATATTTTTTACACACAGATGCAAACACTAGAATGAAATATATCTGCATGTTAAAGTAGTTTAAGTGGTTATTTTGGGTAGTGGGTAACAAAGTTCTTCCCTTCATTGCTTCCCTCCCTCCCTCTCTCCCTTCCTTCCTCCCTCCCTTCCTCCAACCCTTGCTCCCTCTCTCTGCCCCTTCTTCCCTCCCTCATTCCTCCCTTCCTTTCTTCCTTTTTTTCCCCTCATCCTCCTCCTTATTCTTAGTTTCCTGTTTTCCAGGCATTTGGGCTTTTGTTTTATAATTCAAAGGAATGCACTGTTTTGTTTTATTTTATTTTTAACTTTACCTTATAAAAGTCTGTTATTTGGATTTTCCTTAAGGAATTCAGGTGGAAAAAGAAAGTGAAACAATTGTGCTCCTTTCTCTTCTACTTGATGCCCTGTGTCCTTAATGATTTCAAGTTCTCTTCTTCCATGGGCGAAGAGGAGAGAAAATAGGAAGGTAACAACCACCATTCCACTGTGTCTTTCAGAAGCAGACCTAGAAAACCATTCCACCCTGCTCAGTCCTCTTCAGGAAGTGAACTTTTAAAAAAATTAAATGATTTCTATTTCTTTTTACTTGTTTTGATAGTTGAAGGACTGGTAGAAAAACAAGTCAGGTATTTGCTGTATAATTATTTCATGCTATTTAAACGTTACGTATTTCTTCACCATAGCAGTTAAGAAGAAATTAGTTTTACCTTTAATGTGTAAAATTAAAATGATTCACAGCTTTTCTGATAACTCATAACATTTTTTCTAACAAGTTAACAAATCTGGGCTCTTTCATTTTTGAATTAATGTCTAAATAAAAATTTCCCAGGTAACCAAAAACAAGTCATGTTTAAAGCTGGGATAGGAAAGGTGGTAACAGAAAAAAATAACGTTTACTAACGACCAAAAGCAGTTGACTATGTCAGTTCTCAAACACTGTCTCCTGATACTGAACTCTTGGTTTTAGGGAAGGTGCACAGCTCATGGCAGATTAGGAAACACTGAGTTTAAACTGGTAGTGGCAGATAGTGCTTATGTTGTGCTAACAACTGTTTACAGCTTAAGGGGAACAGATGCTCTGAGTTTTGAGAATATTAAGCTTGCGGTAGATAAGTGAAATTTTTGCTAGGGTAACTATATATTTAACCAATCTTTTTAAAAAAAATGTACCCTATGAGCACAATCATCATAGATGCTCCCTGAATTTCATTTCAGGGGAAATTGATAGTAGTATCAACATTTTAACTCTGCATTTTAACTCATGTCCATGCTGTTGGTGTTCCATGGGTCCCAGATTGAACACCAGGGGTGCCAGGCCCTGGATTCAGGCAAGTCTGTGTCTGTCTGGAGGGCAGACGTTATGGCATGTCATGGTTTTATTTTCACAAAGGCCAACGAACCCTATAGGGAGGAAGTCACGGCAAGGAGAAGGGTGCAGAGCTGTGGGCAGCTTTTAGGAATTCCAGCAGGGACTTCTAGTTGGTTCAGTGTCAAGGAAAGCCACTGCCAGTGAACTGGAACCTGAGGGATAAGGGACAAAATGGTGGGCACTGCAGGAACAAGTTCTGAGAACACCTATGACAACTGAGTGTTGGACGAGGGAGCCCCCAGACTACGGGAGGACCTTGAGGGGTTTGGCTCCTAAAGACACTGTGGAGACATACTTGTTTGTATCCAGTATCCTTACTCTGGTCTTACTCTCAGCCTGTCGTCACCTAGAAAACACAGATGACTTTTATATCCCCTTTGAAAGAACTGAGGAATTGTTTTCAGATGGCATACACACATGTGGGCTTCTCATCCCTGCCTCTAAAACAATAAACAGTAGAGGTACCATTTGGAGAAAACAGCAGTTACCGGAAAATCATTCAGCCAAGATGAAAAAAATCCCTGAATAGCATTTAATCTTCCAAATAAGAATTCTTCATTCTTGGGTCAGACTGATAAATGAGGTGGCATTTAGACTGACTGATCAGACTCATCCCTTCGGGGTGCAACTGAGCACCAGATGCACATGATGGAGATGCTCTTTGGTGTTACCCTCTTTCTTAGTACCACATAGCTAGTCCCTTTTCTAGCCCTGGTATCTGATTTGGAAACTATTTTAGAACAACCCAATAACAACTTCAAGATAAAAAAAATTCTACACACTTCACAGGTCCTTCCTATTACATGAATGTGTAAATTGAATTCCCTCTCAACATGAAAAAAACAAGGGTTGGCTTCCCAAAAATGTTTTCATTGGCTTTAGGGAACTAAAACACACCAGTCTGGGTGACTAATACTTCCTGTAAAATACAGATCAACACATAATTAAGTTCTGGCTCAAATATAATTGTTGTCTTGGAAACAGTTTGGGGGATAAATATGGTTATGCTAATGAAACTCCTCATGAATTCCACCAATGATCCAGTTTATTAATTAGACCAGACCACCTTACCACCTTGTGCTACCCAATTTGGAACATTTAAAGAGTTAAAAAAAGTGCCTAAGAGAACACTAAAGAGGAAGAAAAACGGATAAATCTTAAATTAGTTATCAGATCCCATTAGGATTCCAGTTGGAGGAGTAGGTTAAAGTGTTTTTGGCTTATTTGTGGGTTTCAAAGACCCTTCCTAACCCATTACGCAGAAAACAGAGTTGTATATGCAGCATTTTGAACTAATAATCCCTATCACTCCTTCTCTGAACTCCCTCTTTGGAGGATTTAAAATTGGATGAAGTCAAGAGAAACTAAAATCCTAAATCGCCAGTTTTCCAGTTCCAGCTTTCAGTATACAGTAGTTTTGTAGGAAGTTCTACTTAATGCGTAGCCCCAAGGGCAGCCTGCCTGCTCTGAAGGGTTTTGTTGAGGCCAAGTGCGAACTCCGGGCGCGAGAGCGCATCTCGGCTCACAGATCACACCCACTCGGGGGGTGCGTGTGGGTGAGAGCGCGGGGGCCTGCGCGCGTGTGTACGTGTGGGGAGGTGTGCGCCCGAGGAGGGGGCGAGGGAGGCCTCGAGGTGCCGCGCCAGGAGAGGGAGGGCGCCCGCTCCGGCCTCTCCCCAGGGGCCGCGGCGGCTGCTCGCGCTCCGGCT